CCCCCCTACCCCCCTCCCCCCCCCATGACACTTGGAATGGTGACGGCCAGCACGGGCCACAACGACAACCGCCTGTCCCAGAGGTCACGACGGTCAAGGGAAGAGGGAGCTGGCGACTGACATGGGGATTGACCGCGTCTATTTCTTCTTGTACGCTAGATATCTCCCCCAATTTACAGCCACTAGTTTGTACATTTACTCCGAACAATCACTATTTTCCCCGATAAGCGCCCGCATTTCTGCTTCCTGCTCCTTTTCGACTTCGGAATCGTCCTTCACCTCGGCCCCGCCTAGCTCAAGCTCCGAATTATATGGATCAAGCTCCATATCTGGATTAAAAAATCGATTAAGCATATCGGCTGCCGCAACAGCCGTTTATATATCGTCGTACCTATTTTCAAAGAAATCCGCTTTTACCATATTCGAAAAATGGGTTTTCATGCAAATGTTGTTGTCGTCGTCTTTGTCCAGCCTATCCTTAAGGCTCAAGCTTCTCACAGTCCATCCAGTTTTCATCTGCTGGCCGCGATGGCGGTGGCCGATGGATAGGCACAGGGGGCTCCCTTTGACGACATCAATTGGCAAGCAGAGGAATTCGAAACGCAATGGGTATGTTGGCACATGCCAGACATTCGCGAAGGCCAAAGGACGATGATAAAGGCGATTCCAAAAGGGACTGGCATGGAGTCCAGTTGCCGCACCAACTGCAAGGATGCCTCGTTCCTGGCTCCTCTTGGTCTCGACCCAGACAGCGATGGGGCGGGAGATCGCCGCGCTTGATAGCGGCATTGGTCTTGTCCGCCTCTTTGGCCATTGCAATCCATGCGGCAGGCAGTTTGACTGTCGCTGCAAAGGTGGAATAGCAGGCCGCCACTGTTGACAATGCCCAGGCTTAGTCATCCGCCATAATCTTGACATGTGGCGGGTGGACGCCAATTGCGATAAGCGAACTCGAGGGCTCGCTTTTTCGATGAACATAGGTCAACCTCTCCCCGTCGCAAATTCCGCGTGGCTCTGGTTCCCCTTGGTATCGTCTCAGCAACAGGCTTTTCAGCTGGCTAAGCTCCCGATCGGCTACCAAGGGGCCAAGCTTTAGGGCCTCCTGACAATACAACCATAAGAATCGCTCCGTCTGCTGGACTCTGGCCAGGGACGGGTATCTCGGTCGCTGGGGGTCGTAGTTATCGTTTGTGAATATCGACGACACACCAACCAGGACTGAATTGATACCTGGTTTGAGAATGCGTAAATCGAAAGCAGGGAAAACGTCGTCATCCTTGATGCCCATGCGGAAATGCAGATCGTTCCGTTTTTTGCAGTGAGGGTTACCGGGTCGAACCGAGGAAACCATTTCGACAGCCGGTACCCCGAACGGCCTGGTGCATGGTCAGGTGCATGCTCACGCATTCCGCCATATGCTATCCGGGGGCTGTCAGGGAAAAGCTTGGCCCATGCTGCACAAAAAACCGGAGGGAACTTGGATCTTGGCCCGTGGTGAAATTTGTTGAATGCCTCAACCAGCAATCCGCAAAGTCTTTCGACATCGCCGAAGCTGCATATGGACTGGTTCAGACGGCAAAAATAACGCGTTTCTGAACCTTTTTTCGCGAACAGCTCCCAGAATTTCGTTACTGGGTGATGGCCTTGACCCGGGCCTTCAGCTGTCACTTCCTCCGCGTGCGGCTCGTACTCATGGATCAGGTTGAGGGCAGCAATCCGATGCCATGGGTCCAGAACCTCGCCGTTCTGCCACCGTCGCACGATGGGATCTAAATCACCGGTGTATTTGAAGTCGTGCTTGGCCAGCTCATCCTTTATATCTTCGAGCTTTTGGCGGACCCAGTCCTCGTTGGACATCTGTTTAGCACGACGGCAGTTTTTCCTTGCCGAAGCTGGGCATTTGTCAATATTAGTCGTTATACAAATGGTGGCTGATAACGGGCTTGCATCGGGCTTGTATCGGGCGAAGTGAACCGTCCCACAAAGTGGGTATTCCAGGGGCATCGGGCGTCGAACCGTAAACTGGCCTGTCACTGACACTTGAACCTCGTCTCAAAGGTGCCAGGAGGGGTCGCCGATGATCCGCGTTCGGTCATTACAATCATCGAACACAGCTGCAGGATTCACACGGGACCGGACGTTGACACTGGACCAGGATCATTTGCACACTTGCGGGCAGACCAGCCACTAGTGGGCTGGTGATGAACTGAATTGCGTCGCTCACGCTATAGCACACCGGAACATCGTAACACCAGCGTCGCTGACACCGGCTCACGCACAGGAATAGCCAACAGACGCAAGCCGCGACATGCAGCAAGGCGCTTGACTTAAAGCAGAAACGCGACAAAAAGGACAAAGACAGTAAATGTATTTACATTTTGCGGACTGAGCAGGCTCTACGGCGTCCTCTGGTTCCGACTCCGGTGCGAAATCGTCGTCGGCAGTGGTGGACGGGCCAGCGGCAGCCTTGCGAGCCACACGCTTCTTGCCGGACACAGATCTGGGGGTCTAATGAGGGCGAGCGGACGCAACTTGGGCAGTGGGGGAGGCAGCGTCCTCGTCGTCGCCGTCGTCGCCGTCGGCAGCCAATGGGTCGACCACATACGACACCGTCTTCTTCACGCGTTTGCTTCGGCGAGGGGGCTCGGTCACGGGCGTCGGGAGTGCGGTGCTCTTGCGCTTGGCCGGTGCCTGTACCGTAGGGGCGAGGTCGTCGGCGTCTTCGGCAGCCGAGGTGCCTACCGTATGCGAGACGGTCTGGCTCTTGGTCGCGGGGGTGTGTCGGCCAACGGGCTCGGCAGCAGAGGCAGGGACGGTGGCCGGCGCGATCGGGGGCAGGGTCGCGGGAGTGACAGGTGCCGCGATCACAGCTGCCGTGCTCGCATCAGGGGTCTTGGCGGCAAGCTTTGCGGCTGACCTCGTTATGCGGCGTGTAGGCTCCGACGGGGCTTGGGCTGGAGTGGTCGGGACAGGCGCTGCGCTGGAGCCCACGGTCGTGCTGTTGACGCCTCCAGTGTTCTAAACTGGAGGCGCCGATGGCTGGGCCGGCAATGGCTGGTTCAGGGGCGACCACAGCGGATCGTAGTCCCACGGCGGGTTTGTGTCCTGGGACGACGGAGCGTCGCTGTCCGGGATGGTATGCACCGGCGATGGCTGGTCCTGGGGCTGTTCGCACTCCCACGGCGGGTTTGTGTCCTGGGACGACGGAGCGTCGCTGTCCGGGATGGTACGATCCGAGCGCGGACCGGGGACGAAATAACTCGTCGTATAGCTGTTGGAAGCCATCGTGGTGGTGGTATTACCTGCTTCGAAGAAACCAGGCGAAGGATGCGGTAAGGGAACTTCCAGTTGGGAGAGGGCTGGTGAGGGCGGTCGAGCGAGCGAAACAGACGGTAGACCTGTCTCAAAGAGAACAGGCTACGGCGGTGGAGAGAGCGAAACGAAGGGTAGACCTGCCTCGAAGAGAACAGGCTACGAAACGAACGGTAGACCTGCCTCAAAGAGAACAGGCTACGGCTGCACGGCACGATATCTTCCAGTGGCAGATCAGAACTGACGATGTTCTGAAGATTCGACCCGGTTCGGACCAGGAAACCGCCCAACACAGAAAGGAGATCGTCTGGCTACGAAAGAATTCGACACACGGCACGCACACAAAAAATCCAATTCAGATTGTGTGCCGGCCGAGCCAGCCGTCGACATTTTTGGCAAGAACCCACTCCATGTGGCGCGGGGTTCAAGTCCCGTCTCACCAATTTTTGGTGATGTTTAACATCGTGGGCTCGCGTAAGAGGACGCTTGCTCCTTCCCCAACTTCACTCAAGCCCTCCGCGGCACACATTATATGGGTCCACCGGAAATCTCTGTCCTGGAGGAAGAAAAGGAAGTCTCGAGGCAGAGTGACCCCTGAGCCATTTTATTGCTTAGAGTCGGCCACGCCAACGCCAGGCTGGTGCCTAGCTAGCGCCTGGCAACAAGTCCCAGGACCTGCCGCCCCGTACACCTAGCTGGGAGCCGGCAGTATATCCGGTTATGATACTTTCACCTCTATGGTAGGCCTCTGCCAGTGCCAGAGGGACGGTCATCTGGCGCCGTAGGTGCGCAAACGAGAGGTGAAACGATCGTGATCCGGATCTCTAGTGGTGCGAGGCACGGGTGGTCCGCGAGCGGGGCCGTCGTGCCTGTTGGGGCGGCGCGGCAGGTCCAGGACCTGGTGCGCAGCGCCTTCGCGGACGAGGCCGCTATCACGCTCCACAGCACCGCGACGCTGCCTCTCGGCGCCGTCGTCGACGAGGCCCTGCGGTTCGGGCACCAGGTGCTTTCGGGATCATCCTAGGAAAAGCCTTTTCTTTTTTTTTTTTTTAAAAAAGGGAACCGTTCCCTTCCCCAACACCCCGGGCAATAATATTACTGCCTAACTGATACATCTGCAGAGGCAGACGTCCCCGAAGGACGGCGCAAGAGAAGGGACCAAACCGTCTGAATTGAACTCTCCCAACGTCAGAGATCTAACGAGAAACTCGCCGCCCAAGTAGTCTGCGGGTGGCCCGTGCACACACGTGGCTCACCGACGTGGCGGCGGTTGCCCCGACACGCTGTCATCTGCCCTTCCTAAAATGTCGATGCCCACATAACACGTGGTCCCCTTCCTGAAATCAACGATACCACTGTACAAGTGACCGTTTTCCCCCGTCAGGGAATGACTCTCCTATCCGGACCTCATCCTCTTCTGTCTCTCCTCCTCCACCGTCTTGATCTTCAGCTCCGCTCGATCGTATGTGATCATTCCCCATTGCACGGCGCTTTCTGTGCTTGCTCTCAGCTCCGTCTTGAGTCTCTTCCTCTTGTCCCCCAGCGATAGTGTCGCCTTCTTCATTAGGAACTCTCCCTTTTCCAGCTTGCTCCCAAAGCTCCTCCCCCCC